GAAGTCCCCGGGGTGGGGGGGGGGGGAGACGGTTTTTCCCTGCCGTATTTTTTTTTCCTCATGTGACGCCGTTTTTATGCTTTTCTCAACAGGAGAAAAGCTGTTTATTCCGCTAAAGTGGCTCCGTGAAGGTTTAGTAGTGTCGTGACATCCTATATCCACGGGGAAGCGGGGTTTGATCAATGGGGAAGGGAAGCGGCGTGTGCGGGGGCTTTAAAGCCGCGTCTTTTGTTAGCACCTTTCTAAAATTAAACCGCCAAAATGATCTTTGTGGCAGGGGGCATTTCCGCTCCTCCAGCTGGAGCCTGGCGGGTCCTGCGGGTCTGCGGCGAGAAACGAGACTCTGAGCCCTTAGTGTGTCCCTAATTTCTGAGGGAGGGTGTTTGTGAGAGAGAGGGGAAAGCAGAACCCAGCACATGGTGGCGGCATTTTTTTTTCTCTCGTCCTTCTCGTTCTAATATCACTTTTGCACCATTAGAAAAGACACCTAACTACTTATTTCTCTGTAATTCCTCGCTGAAAGCGTAACCTTATCAGCAAACTGTTTTTTCTTCACCTGGTGTTTCATCTCATAGTTATTTATTGAAAAGTATTTCTTAAATATGAATCTCCTATATTTTTTCTATATTTGATTTTAACACTTGGTTCAACAATCAGTTGAATTCTGAGTTTTGTAAAAAATAGGAAGTACATAAATGTATGCTTCTTTGAATCAACAAGTATAACTAAGAGGGAATTCTATGAGACTTGTGCTGAAATTGAGACTTCAGGTTATCACAATTTCCCTTGACTTTTCTTTGTGGCATCCCCAAAGTGCATTAAAAATGTAGCGCTCTCAAGACAGAGAAATCCTTTCTGTACCTTAGTCCAGAAAGAAATTCCTGTATTTTGCGAGCAGAAGTCAGTTTCAGGAGCTACCGTGATGCCTTGCATAGAGGTTTAAGTGGCTTGTTGTTGGTTGACTGTGGGTTGTGGCTTTTACCTGTTGAGAACATTTTTTTTGTTGTTATGGTTTGCTGATGATCTATCAGCATTAGGTTAAAAAAAAAGATGAAAAAAGCCTAGAAACTTCTTCTCATACTCGAACATAACCTGCCATGACCTGTACATAAGTGTAGGCATATTGCATTTCTTTGTATATATTTTTCTGTGAGAGAGTCATAAGTGCTCTCGTTGCACCCTTGTTCACAGAGTAACCAGGCAAACAACATTGTTTTTGGTCACACTGGAGCTAGTTGGTGAATAAGGCTACAGCAGCACTCTGGAAGATTAATAAAATATTTTAATGCTATTATAAAATATTTCTTGTGTTTACCTATATGTTTACCTGTATGTGTTTACCTGTATGCACTGTTGTCCTGTATGTGGGCATTTCACAATCTTTTGCTTATTCTTGTGAAATCCTTATGAAGTACTGAAATTCTGTTGTTTCCATCTTATGTGTTAGATTTGAAGCAGGGAGGCAGTAAATGCTTTTCCAGGAATATGTAGGAACTCTGTGTCAGAGCAGAGAACTGGAATCTGAACAATGTAGCTTCTAAACATTGTCTTAGCTCTTACAGTACTTTCTTTTATTCACTGTCTCTGTTTTTTACATGTATTTAAGTTGTGTGTATTGCTGTAGATAATTAATAATTTAAGTTTGAGGTCTTGCAGAGGAAGAAGGAAATGTTAGCTTTGCCACACCTCAGTGTAGTTTAGATTTCAAAAGGTAAGTATTGCATATAGGGAGTTTCCTATTTCATCCTCAGCTTATTTATGCATGTGATAGATCTTATTTATGAAGCTGGTACAAGTGGCAGCATTTTTCCCCTCCATTTAGCTGGTCCTAATGTGTAGGATTCTGGCAGTGAGAACGCATAATGGCTCTGGTATTCGAAATAATTATGAACACGATGCATTTTGCAGCTGTGGAGAGCAATATCCTTGCAAATATTCTTTCACTGAATATTAGTAACACTTACTTTCATCGTGCCGTGAGCGAAAGAGAAAGTGTTGGTGTTACACCTTGAAGACCACAAAGCTCTCAGTCTCTGGTTGTGGAAGAGAGGGAAGGGAAAGGCTGAATGAGTTTCAGTGGTTTCAAGCTGTCACCCTCTGTTTGTGTCTCGGAGGCTTGCTTGGATTACAGCAGTGTACTGTGTAGCTCTGCCAACAGAACATGGGTCAGGGTTCCTATAACCTGTCCATGTGCCAGGGCTTCACACAGTCAGAAACTGTGTCTGACCCTGTATGCATAGCCTAGAGAAGAATATAAGAGCAGGTCACACAAGAAGTGATATGTCTTGAGTTATTCTTCCTGCTTCCAGTGGCCAATCACTTTCTGAAGCAAGAGCAGTATCCTGGAATTTACCTTTGCATTTGACAGCATGAAAGGGTGTTTTTTTTGTTTGTTTTTTTAACTTGAGTTGCTTTGCATCCTGTAGCTTCTGTGGTTTTAAGTTCCACAGCTGTGTGAAGAACTGTCTCCTTTTTTTTATTATTTTTTTTTAACTTCTAACTTTGTGGTTTCATTTAATTCTTTCTGGTTCCTGTTTTTGAAGACAATGAAAACCTGTTCCCTGTTCACCTTTGATGTGCAGTTCATGGCATGATAGAGAAATGTTATCCGCCCTTTGTTTCTTTGCCAGACTCAAGTCTTAAATCCATTTTGTTCTTCCTATATAAAAACAATTCAATACAGCTCTCAAGTACATTTCTGTTATATGGTTCTCTTCTGCAGAACATGGGCTGTGGAAAATAGCCCATGAAGTGGAGCTGAACCTTTCAGACAGAACCTCTCTTGGTTTTAGCTCTCCAGACCTAATAGCCATATCCTGGTGTGGCAGGGGGGGAAAGAAGGGAAGCATCTAATATGATTGTTCATTTGGATCAATCCAAGCTCAGGCGAATTCAAAGCTTTTTTTATTGATAGAAAGATCTTTGTATGCTTCCTGATTTTTCTTTTTATTATCTGTGGATAGATGGTTATTTTAGTTGACTGGCATCACTTTAAATCATGACTTTCTTTAAGAATTTTTATTTTACTGTATTTTTAAGATTTCATTTTTATTTGGATCTCAGTACAGCTGCTGGGTCTGTGATATGATCTGTCAATGTTGCTAAGTCTTGTTTTGGATGACTAAAATACCTCAAAGGAGTAACTGAAGATAGCTAGGGGCAGAATTGCCTGTTACATGTTTGAACACATTTGGAGAAATTAAGCTGATCAGTTGTGTTGCCCAGTTGGAAATACACCCTAGTAGTGTGAAAAAGCCAGTTTAGGACCTGAAGATTCACATACAGTGTTGCCCTCTTGTGAGGGTTTATGAGTGTGATTTAGGAAGAATGGTGCTGGTTTGTTGCTGGGCCCATGCTGCTTGTGTGGCTCTAGCCTCTGTGAATGTTTTTGCACCTAGGATATGGCACTGCCAGCTCAGCAGCCATCTATACAGAAAACTGCTATGGGTGCATTTGTATTGGCTGTGTGGTACACTTTTGAGGAAATGCTTTTACTTTTGGGCATAGCTTTAACTCCTAATTGTGTGAGGGTGATCCTCACACAGCCTTCCCACAGGTAGGTGAGGTTTTATTGTGCAAAGACTCAATTTTGAGGCATTTGGATATTATGATTTACTGTGTTTTCATTCCTCTTGTTCAAATGTAAGAATTCTTACATGTATGAAGAAACTTTCATCTATCACTATCTCACTGCTTGAGCCTACAAATAGAAATAATCCTGTATATCAGTCATACACAATGAACTACCCCTGTGAACCGCCATGGTTGTCCATTGAACTGGACTTGGTTACTAGTACTATTTCTTTTTCCACGTCGCCAGTCACTGATTATATACCACTTCTCCCCTCAGCTGTAGCAATTCATCATAGTCAACATTTTTGTTAAAGTAACTAGAATACTCAAGGATCATTAAGAGGTAACATTGTTATGTGAGAGGAAAATTGACAAATGGAAAAATCTACTGCTTCTCCATAGAGAGAGAAAATGTGGAGTGCAGTAATGTCCTGCAGAGCCTGAAAACCCTTTTGAGTATGGTGCAACATACTTGTTAAATGTAATTGCTGATTATGTAAGAAACCGCAAAAGTAAAAATAAAAAGCCCATCCAAATAAAGAGAAAGTCCATCCGAAAGAGAAGAGTCCACTGACCTTGGTAAGTACAGGCTATGGCAGTCATGGTAGCACACCTCAAAATCCTCTCATTTACTGTAAAGTTGAGAGCAGAATGAAACACTTGAGTTTCAGGGTAAAAATATTCATTGACTTTAAGTGCTTTTACTAGCGTTGGTGTTTTATGAGGTATTGTGTTACCAAGCAAGCATGACGAAGGGAAATCACATTTATGATGTACTGCTCTTAAAGGACAGTCTCACTTGGCCCACCACTTTGCAGTAATGTTGGATAGCTGCAGGTGTTTGTTCACAGGAATCAGGTTGTGAGAAGGGGCTTTTTGGTGTGCCCTTGGCAAGGGCAAAGCGGTTCTGAGGTGAGCTAAGCAGGCCCAGGTCAACAGAGAAGCAGGAGCCAGGATGTTTGTTGATACACGTGGTAACAGTGTCTTCCTGTTGCTCAGTGTTGTTCCCACTCTGCCTTCAGTTGTGCTTTTATCAGCAAGCATGTTTTAATATAGTACAAAAGAAATCCCTGAAGTGCTCCATAGAATGACTAATTAATCTTTTATTGACTTGTGTATTTTTCAAATAAATTCCTAGAAGGCAGGAAAATATTGCCAGAAAGTAGATCAATAGCAATTCTTACCAAAGTAGAGACTTCATCTATAAGTACTTGTTTGTTTCTATGCTTCATAGAGCATTTGAAATTAGAAGTGTGGTTTAGCAGAAATGTTCACCTAAATCTTTGCAAGACTTGTAAAATTTATTGAGTACGTCATATGTAGATGTGTTTTGGGGTCCTCTTTAAGCCATGCTTTGTTGCACCGAATTCTGTCAGCTGTGGGAGTTTAGAGTAGGGACTGTTTGCAGTTACTGCAGATTCCTAATGGCAAAGGTGGTTGGCTTCAACCTGCCTGTAAGAAGGAGGGATTATCCCTGGTGAGAATTAGGATTGAGAACAGGCAGGTCATGCAAGGAAAATGCGAGAGACAGTCTGGGACAGAAGGGTCAGCCAAGGAAACAGGAAGTGTCTCCTGGGTGTCTTGAATGGCGGCGAGTTACACCCTTGTCCCCCTCCTTCAACTGCTGCAGACAGACCAGCCACACAGGGCTGGGGTTGTACTGCTTTGTAACAACCACTGCTTGCATCCATTTTTACTCATGCAGAAAAGAAGGTTGAAACAGTTCAACAGTTTGCAACATGCAAGTTTAAGTCATCCTTTCTTGCCAAGTTTTATTTTCATGAATAAAATACTGTATTTTTCTAGAAATGTTTTTGGATAGAAAAGTCATTCAGCCCAGTCAATTTATACATTAATCTTTTTTTTTTTATACATCTATATACAATAAGACACAGGGTGTGAGATCTTAGCAACGTGTTTCCGAGCATTAGCAGATAGAAAGCTCCTCCCTTGTTTTGAGCACAGTTTCATACCTCAAAGGAGAGCTAAAAAATTAGATAAACAAGGCTTGAATTTTCATCTACACAGCAGTGTCTCGTGCCTGCTTTGTGATCATGGAGCACCAATAAGGCACACTCATAACCTGCACATCCTTTTTTCCCTCTGAGGCAGCAATAGTGAATACTAGTGTCCACTCCTTCCTGAAGCCAAACATTTGCAGACATTTCAGGGATGGCCTGTTCCATGCTGGGGTTAGATTAATAGCTTAATGTCTCCCCCCCACCCCTCACACACACAATAGTTTTTGTTTCTTGCATGTGGGAAGATCCAATTCTTTCCAATTTCCCTTTGTCTTGCACTGTCAGTTTAAGCAGTTGTTGACAAGAGCTCCTTTGATCACATTTTTTTTTTCTGTTTGACCTGGTACGAAGCGATATTTATGGTATGAGGAGACAAGACAATTTTTTTTTTAAAGCTAAGAGAGATCAAAAAATTGTTTGTGAAAGAGGACATTGTGTCCCTAGTGTAGACCAGGATGTTAGTCAATTCTTTTCAATGTCTTTGTTACATATATAAACATATTATATTTTTATATAAATTTATATTTAATAAATATAAAATTATATATATAAATATAAAATACTCAGTTCCTGTTATGACTAGGTTGGTAGTTTATTGAATAACTAGCTTAATCTTTACTGTTCTCAGCAAAGGTTTGTAGCAACATATAGTGTGAATTATCAACCCTCTTTTTTCTCTTCAGAAAAGTGAAATAGCCTTACAGTGCTGTCAAGAACAGAAGGGAAAAGCTATTCGGAACTCCCCAATTTGAAATCATGTTGTATATCTATTTTATTTTAGGTTCTTACAATATTTTTAGCACTTAGTGGTGCTGCCACCTTGGCATTTTACCCTCCATTAGCAAAGAGCACGTGCCAGCCTTCTCGTTTCCCAGCCCTGCAGAGCGTATCGAGCCGGGCAGAGCTGCGCGCAAGACGGGAAGCGGATGCGCCGGCGCTGGGTTGCGTGGGCTGGAACAGTCAGCTCAATGACTATGAGGGTTTGACTGAACACCGCTGCGTTTTAGGGTTGTAGCTTCTGTTCCCGTCTCTAAATTAGAAACAATGTATCTTTTTCCTGTACTAGGATAGATACGATAACTGATAGAAGTTCTAGTATTTGACTTTTGAAAAGCTTCTGTTTCTTCCAAGAACACAGGAGATGTAGCTGAGATGTAGCACTGAAAGGTGTATGTCCTTTTTCCACTTAAGGTTAATATTCTTCCATAAGAGCTGTTGCTAGAAGCCTACGTTCAAGAGTCCTGGGTTAAGAGAGATATCTTTCTGAAATGTCAAAGAAACCTTTTCTTGTGTTTTCTCAATTAAGGGGGAAAAGATCTTGGGTTAGCTGTCTCATTAATAAACTTTTTAATTTCTTAATATTGTATTTTCTTTTAGGAAATGAAAATTGTAAAAATCAAAGGTAGCTTTTATTTGAGTTCTTACTCTCTTTGTATGTGTGTGTGTGTGTATATATATATATGTATTTACACATTTGTGCTGTGGAAACTTTATTATGTTATCTACAGAAACTAGTGAACTTTTTATTGCATGAACAATGATGCTGTAAATAATAAAGTGTGTTTCTTGATGAATAGTGTCAAATATCATTGCATTAAGCTGACACTACTCAGGCCAAACAACTGCAAACCAGGTGTATGCCTTTTCTGTTAAAGGAAGCAAGGCTTGCTAGCAAAGTGGTGCTCTGTGCCTACTTCAAAAGATATTAAAACCGCTTTAGTCACTGCGCTGCCGGAGTTAGAAATGAGTAACTCTTGCACTAACTCTTGCCTCGGGGCGCTGGGCTGGATGAGGGGGGGTTCTTGTGGTTTCACGCTGGGCCTATTCTGTAAACACGGTTGTGGGAAACTGGATTTTGAAACTTCTCCGTGAACAATGAGGACTGCGCGAATGATTTAGGAAAGATAAACAGTGAAGTCTGCTGGATTAGCTATAGAATTGAATAGCATCCCCTTAGTGATTGTGCTGTTGTCAGTTTTGACTGTATAATTAGAGTCTTACTCTGCCTGAAGTGTTTTTATCTGTCACTGAAGCAGAATGTAAATTTATCATTGTGAATTTCTCTGTAACGTTGTAGAAACTGTTGGGGAGGCTGGAGATCAAACATAAGGTATGTTTGGTCTAGTTCAAATTTTTTAAAAGTGTGTAAAGCTGAAGCTGTTCACCAAAGACTCCTTTAAGATCTTATCCTAAAGTGGGCACATAAAATATTTCTGATAAACTGCTTTCTGGAAATGCCTTTCTATGACACGTGAGAGTCAAGGATCACAAGGTCTGATTTGCACATCTCTTGTCAGTCACTGTTAAAGCTGGATGAAAATAGTTCAGTCTTTGGGTCTGCAAGTTGTTTGTTCAAAAAAAAAAAAAAAAAAAAAAAAGTAGATATGTAGTTTTGGCTTACCTGATTGTGTGCTAAACTGATCAACAGTGAAATAGGCAGTGGTCTAGTGTCAATTAAACTGTCAGGTTTTGCACCAAACTGAGTTGACCTGCAGCTCTTCTGGCTTCACCGTTTCAGGGTAGACACAACTGTAGTACAAATGTTAGTGCCGTGAAGTGGAAGTTTCTGTCTCTGTGGTTGAGAGAGGTAAGATACTACACAAAAAAAAGCAGGAAGCGATGGGCTCAACTGAAGTAGTCTTCTCAGCTTGGCAGTTTGAACATAGGGTGTAGCTGCATGCTGTCAGTTAAGGCAGTGTAAAGGTTAGCTGTGCTCAATGGCTTTGTATTTTTTTGCCTTTCTTTGCACTGGTACAGGTCCTTATCCGAGCTGCTCCTCGGTTAGCTCGGGAAGCTAAGGAGTGCCCATGGAGCGAGCAGGTAGATGATCTGGGAGTATGGCAGCACTGGAGTGGAACTGCATGGCTGGCAGTGAATGCCCTTTTCCTCAGCGATGACCTTGGTTTCAGGGTGTTTTGGCATGGTACTTGTGTGATGCCATCTTTAGTATAGCAGGATTGATCTACAGAGTTGGATTTGGTAGAGCAGGACTAAATGATTTGTTTCTTTCCAACATAATGAATGGCCTCTGCTTGGGAAGTCAACACGTGGTCAGAGCCCTCAACCTCCTGTGTGTTGTCATGATTTATAATGGATGTCGCAGCCACTGCTTCACAGGACTGGAGACCTCTGTAAGGGCAGACATGACAATTGATTAGCTGACACCAAA